AGGCGCGGTGGCTCACGCCTGTAATCCCAGCACTTTGGGAGGCCAAGGTGGGTGGATCACGAGGTCAGGAGTTCAAGACCAGCCTGGACAATATGGTGAAACTCCATCTCTACTAAAAATACAAAAATTAGCCGGGCATGGTGGTGGGAGCCTGTAATCCCAGCTACTCGAGGGGCTGAGGCAGGGAACTGCTTGAACCCGGGAGGTGAAGGTTGCAGTGAGCTGAGATCATACCACCGCACTCCAGCCTGGATAACAGAGTGAGACTCCATCAAAAAAAAAAAAAAGAAAAAAAAGTTGTGAACATTAGATAATATATGTAAAATAGTATCTGGAAAAGCCCCTGTAAACTGCTATACAAATTCATTCATTCAACAACTATTTATTGAGCTGCTCCTGTGTGCCAGGACTGTTCTAGGCAACACAGATGGAGAGAGAACAAAGAGACAAAAGCCCCTGCTCTTGTGGGGCCCACATTCTACCACAGCCACAGTGCTTCAATGTCTAGCATTAGACTCAGTCAGGAAATCTCCCCGGCGTGCTGGCTCTGCCACTGGCCAAAGCCACTAGCCTGGGATGACGAGAGCATCGCTGAGTCTTCACCTGAACAACGGAAGCTTGGTCAAAATGATTTCTAGACTTAAAAAGATGGAAAACGTGCTTTTTCCTGCATATCCAGCCATACGGAAACTCCTTGTATACCTGGCCCATTTGGAGAACTGTGAATACCGTAAAACTATCCCCACAGATTAGCCTGTGACCAGTCTCTGACATCATGTTGTAAATGAAACATGGGACCAAAGTTTTGAGGTATTACAAAAAAAGGCAAATTATAAAAACCAGAGAGTGCTGATTAGAAAATTTCAAATTGGCTTAGCAAGATCCATCATAATGAAAGCAAGACTGTAAATTACAGGTAAGTGTGAATGGTTCAGCCACCTCTAGCTTCTAATGCAAGGTGCCCTGGGGAATAACTTCACGGCCTCAAGTGATTGATTGGGAATAATGTATTCCAATGGGAAAGGGAAGTGAGGAAAGAAATTCATCTCTCACCAGTGAATTACTCCTCCTGGCTAAGAGCTTCACATCTTCAGTGTTAATTGTGGTTCTTTTCGCATGTCTGCAGAAAGGGCAGAAGCAAGTCACCAAAATGTTTGGTATTATTTAAAGTTTTGATGAAACACAGAAGTTCAGGGTCAGACTTCAAAAGAGCAGGGATCTCTAAGTAGCCCATCCTTTTAGATAAAGGGCATTAAGCAAAAGTGACACAAAAATTTGTGAAGTTCCCAAGACCCCAATTAAGTAAAGAGATGGAGAAAGCAAAGGCCATCTCTCCACCTCTGCTTAGGGCCAAGGGCACCTGAAGAGTCAAACACAGACAGGAGGCTCGGGGCTTAGAGTCCTTCCAAACCTGGCTTCCTTGGTCACAGCTAAGGCCACAGAAAAATCAAGAAGGTCAGTGTACAACTCTAGTGCAGAGAAAATGAGCCTCACGATACAGAGGGTACCTGCTTAAATAGACACTAAATAGAAGAACAAGGAGAACCTCCACAAAGGATGGCTTTACTTAGGTCAAGATTCTGACGTTCTCCAAGGGCTAACTTACAGGAAAAAGCATATGCAGATGCCTCCTAATGCTCCGTTCCCAACAGGCAGTTAATGCATTCCCTCCCTCCACAATAACACAGGCAGAACAAAGAACATCCTCTTTTTTTTTTTTTTTTTTTTGTTTTTGAGACGGAGTCTCATTCTGTCACCCAGACTGGAGTGCAGTGGCACAATCTTGGCTCACTGCAACCTCCACCTCCCGGGTTCAAGCAATTCTCTGCCTCAGCCTTCTGTGTAGCTGGGATTACAGGCGCCCCCACCATGCCCCACTAATTTTTTTGTATTTTTAGTAGAGACGGGGTTTCACCATCTTGGCCAGGCTGGTCTCGAACTCCTGACCTCATGATCCAGCTGCCTCGGCCTCCCAAAGTGCTAGGATTACAGGCGTGAGTCACCGCGCCCAGCCACAAAGAACATCCTTTAAACTGGAGTCTGCTTCTTGCTCACAAGTTGGACTCAAATTCTCATTCTAGTCCTTTTATCTTTGCTAGGAAAGGTAATTTGAGATAATAAGCTCTATTCAATAATATATTACTCTGATTACACCCTTTCTTTCCATTTCTAACTTTCCCACAAAATACACAGGTACTTTGTAAGCAGGAATAAATAGGAATCTTTGCATCCTTAATAACTAGCAAAGCAGCCAGCACACATGGTGAGTCCTCACTGAACAACTGCTGAGTTAAAAGATAAATTCACACAGAAATTATTCTCCATAATTTGGCCAAATTAATCCTTCACATTCTGCTAAATATACAAATATCACGTCATCTCATCGTGATTGATAGTATCTGCTTGTCATGAGATAATAATACCCACTTCAAGAGATAATTTTCTAATTAGCAACCTGCAAGGACCACACAGGAGAGAAAAAAGACAGAGGTGACATAAGAGCAGCCACAAAGAATGAGGCCAGAACACAGATGTTCTGTCTGGGTGGAGAATATTAAGTGCGCGTGGACAGGGTGGCCCAGTCTCAACCTCACAACCAGGCTGCTCTGTCTGGAGTTACATTCTCTTAAAGTGCAGTAAAAGGAATAAGCACAATGAACCGTTTACAGAGCGAACCTATCTGCTGACAAGAAAGTTTTATGAACAATGATCTCAGTCCTCTCTGCCACTTCAGCTTTGCCTCCGGTATCTCTGCACTAAGGCCTCTGATGGAAGGGGCAGGGCATCCTCTGCCAGCCACTGCGTATCGCAGACTCTCCTAAGTCAAACCTCCAACTCCAGAAAATTACTCTAGCTAGGCAAAATAAAAAGCAATTTTTCATATAATATGCTTTGTAACACAGGCCTTAAAGACGATTCCCAAAAGTTCCCAGAATGTATTTCCTGTAGAATATCTATCTTCTTCAAAATGTTTAACAATACTAGGAGACTACAGATTTCAAAGCTAAATAAATTCACAACTCAGGCCAGGTGTGGTGGCTCATGTCTATAATCCCATAGCTTTGGGAAGCCGAGGTGGGTGGATCATTTGAGGTCAGGAGTTTGAGGCCAGCCTGGCCGACACAGTGAAACCCCGTCTCTACTACAAAGACAAATATTAGCCGGGTGTGGTGGCGGGCACCTGTAATCCAGCTACTTGGGAGGCTGAGGCAGGAGCATCGCTTGAACCCAGGAGACGGAAGCTGCAGTGAGCTGAGATCACACCACCGCACTCCAGCCTGGATGATAGAGTGCGACTCCATCTCAAAAAAAAAAAAAATTAACAACTCAGATTGGCAGTTGCTTTCCAAAGTCTGCCAGTGAATTGATTTAGAATTTAATTGTGTATTCTCTGGCCAGGCATGGTGGATCACACCTGTAATCCCAGCACTTTGGGAGGCTGAGGCAGGTGGATCACCTGAGGTCAGGAGCTCGAGACCTGCCTGGCCAACATGGTGAAACCCCCATCTCTATTAAAAACACAAAAATTAGCGGGAGTGGTGGCGTGTGCCTGTAGTCCCAGCTACTCGGGAGGCTGAGGCAGGAGAATCGCTTGAACACGCGAGGCAGAAGCTGCAGAGAGCCGAGATTGAGCTGCTGCTCTCCAGCATGGGCGACAGAGAGAGACTCTGTCTAAAAAAAAAAAAAAA